TATCTTGTTCCTTCATGAATGCTCTAGTATTTACTAGATATAGGGTAGGCTGGAATATAAAAGAAGGGAAGATAATGGGTGCGTAGATAGTGAGTAATTGAACTGCAGTCGGAGAGCACGAGAGACGTTACAGCGTTTGTTTAGCGCGATTGTTGAAGTTGAGTGTATCGGTAAAGTTATATTCGGAAATAATAAACCAGTTTTATTAAGAAAGGACTTGTGTCGCTTAAGTTTCGTCGGAACGAAGTTACGGAAAGTTAATTAACAATCGGAGACGTAACAGTATATATAAACTTACACTACTCACGAGCTAGTTTTTATTCAATACATTATAGATGATGCGGTAAGTTTAGTTTTAAATATATGGTTTAATAAAACGTGATTTCCGTTTTCCTCATAAATTTAACATAATGATTCATTATATTTAAATTCTAACGTATCATTCTTGAGCTATCATACATTTGTGTATTACTATAATTATTTCTATTGGTTGGTAGCAAGAGTATGTGACATTGCATATAACAGAGGTATCTGAAACTTAAAAAGTATAACAAAGTAAAAACAGGTTTGAAATAAAGAACACACCCACAATATATCGTTTCGCCACCGCTTACGTAGAATAATATATGATGTAATTGTGTATTTCTTTATTTCAGTTCCATGTATGTAACCGAGTTAATTATTGTATACATTTTAAACTATATATATATTAAGTATATGACATTGTTTACCTAAAACGTTCTTTATTACCAACTGGTTTTCCTGCCATAATTTTCCGAAAGTTCCCCAGATGGATTTGCCGTCGGGCAATGGATTGGATTTAATCCACCCTCCACAAGAGTACTGGTAAAAGTCGTCACAAGGGTCCACAGTATGATCCATAGCATTAATGATGGCACTGGCGACTGTGACACACGCTGGAGTAACGCAGTACGGGACACTCCCTAATAAAATATGAAAAGTGGTACGTTGAACTAATATAGTTCAAGTTTTTCAGCGTCCTTCGTGTCTGTTATGATTACCCAAGAAAGCACTGTAAAATCTTGCCCAATGTTTTGTGAAATGTATTGAAAGAGTAGAATGAAGTGTGTATATATACTATAAACGAAACCTTCCTGGATTTAAGATAAAAAGTTTTTGAGTACCTTTTTCTATTATCGACCTAGCTGAGATAATGACATCCCTAATAGTTCGAAACTGGAGTCCTTGGCTGGTCATGGCACCGGATTTGTTATCTAATATAAGCAGATATGTTTCGTACTGTTACCAGTTTATAGCAGTATTTTTACTTTTCTTCCGAGCTCTTTCGGTGCAGAAAAGTATACAGTGACAAGAAAAAACAAATGTTGTGTTTGTTGTTAAAGACCAAAGCTGCACAATGGGAAATCTTAACTGTGCCCATTGCAGGGATTAAACCCCCAAATTTAGCGTTATAAGCCCTCGTTATTACCGCTGGAAAAAAAACAACAACAACAGAAGTAAAAATAATGCATTAAAACGTTATTAATAAAATGTCAACTATTATCTATTTATTTATCCATTCCAAACTGTTTTCTCTATGTTTAACAATCGTGAAGTTTAATTTTCACCTGCGGACATCAGAGTTTTTATATCCATTTCAATAAAGGTATGGAATCCATATTTTTGCACACCGTGTGCTTTGAAAACTTATTTTCGACTTTTAATTTTTTTTTTTCAGAATCCCCGGGAATTTTTCTTAATTTAATTCTACAAATTAAAACCGGGAAAAATTCAGCGTGGAAGAAAAACAACACAATTAGTATTGCCCGTAAATGAAAACAAAACAAAAACTTATAATATTTACCTTTCTTAATTCCAAAATGTAAAATATAAAGAACTTGTTCGAAAGATAAGTTTTGCGTTTATGCTAAACAATAAACCTTTCGGTTTATTTGTGATATTTATTTTCAACTTAAACGCCATCTTATGAGCTAATCTTATGATTCAGATATAGCATGGCCAGGTGGTTAGGGTGCTCGACTCGCAATCTGAGGGTCGCGGTTTCGAATCCCCGTCACACCAAACATGCTCGCTCTTTTTCAGTCGTGGTGGCGTTATAATATAACGGTCAATCCCACTATTCGTTGATAAAAGAATAGCCCAAGAGTTGGAGGTGGGTGGTGTTGACCAGCTGCTTTCCCTCTATAGCACTGCTAAATTAGAAACGGCTAGCGCAGATAGTTCTCTTGTAGCTTTGTTCGAAATTCTAAACAATTTCCAAACCAAACCATTTTCATAACGCGCCCACGCACAGTTTGTTGCTATTGTTATTCAATAACAATCTCTCTTTTTCAGGGTCAGGTTCATGATGACCTCTTCCTTCTTTCCGAACTGTGATTTTTCTACTGATGAATGTTGGTGTTGATGCGACATGAGGATCAGAGGAAACCGCACTTGCTCCGACCCCTTTCAGGACAATGTCCATGTAGGTATCTACACTATATCTCTTAGGTCAGTTCCATAATGCAAACAACACATTTCACAAGTTAGAGACTAATCAAATGCATTTTACATAAAAATGCCCTTTAAATGTATTATTGTTAGTCTAACTAGTGTAGGGTTTTAAAGTCTAGTAATAGGTGAGAGGTACTTAGGCCTACTTCCATCATGTATGTAGTAGCGATCAAGTTCGCAGAGTAGGTCATTCTTTTGCCAATGTTTTGCAAAGTAATTTAGAGTATATCGGCTATTGTTTGTATGTTTGCATATCTGTGCATAAATTTTGATGAGGTACTGCGAGGGACTTTATATGCTGTGGTGATAAGTGAGTTTTGTATAGACTGTAGTTTATTTATGTGTTGGGGAGCTATGTTTATCCATTCAGGGTAGGCATATTCTATTATGGCACTTATATATGTTTTGTATATTTTAATAATGTTGTCAGGTGATGTTCCCTGGTTTTTGCCTGTTAAACTTTCGATAACAATTCCCTTCATTTGTTTTGTTGTTGAAATTCGCGCGAAGCTACTCGAGAGCTATCTGCATTTCCCGTCCCTAATTTAAAAGTGATAGACTAGAGAGAAAGCAGATAGTGAACACCAACCACCACCAATTCTTAGGTTACTCTAATCGAATAGTGGGATCAACCGCCACATTATAACTTTTCATAGCTGAAAGGACAAGTATGTTTGAGGTATGGATTTGAATCCGTGACTTACATATTGCGAGTCAAGCCCCCTAACCACCATGCCAGGCCCAATTTATGTAAAGTAATATCTGAAAACATCAGGTTCGTTTAAAGTTGCTTCCGCAGACATCAAGAAAAAAAGTTTCTAAGCCACTGTATACATTTCGGTTCTAATAATAATTGAGTAAAATATCGTGTTTATTTCTACACTGAAAGTTAGTTTTATAGGGCATTTTATTTCTTGTCGGTTGATAAAATACCTTAAGCAAAACTACTAGCTTATTTTTTACTTCTGTACTTGTCTCAAATAGGTTGAGTTTTAAGTGGATTTGTAGTCACAGGACATGTTAAATTTAAAGTTTTCCAAAATTAGAAGTAATCAGAAGCCTGCAAGACTTTATACGATTATCTGTATAATTTTTGATAGATCAATGTGTGTGTGTATTTCTTACCATTTTTAAGCGGAAGTTTCTGATTTTCTGAAGTAATGTGGACTACTTTCAAAGGCAACGATTGTGATTGGGCACCCAAGATGGCTGACAGGATGATCACTGCTAGTGCCAAAGTAAGCGATATTACCATCAGGAGTTTTTCTAAGGGGGAAGCCCTCTGCCAGAAATTTCGTTTGCGGTGAGGGTAACGTACATCAGGCATTCCTCCCACAATTTCCCCTCGACTGCTCCCAAACCCCACACCTCCTGCTGTGGGAGCATCTGCTGAGAAATTATTGGTGTTACTAGTTTCATCTTCTTCGAACTCTGTCCTTTTATAGTGGGGCATCTGCAAAGAGCATACAAAAGCAAAAAGTGACCTTATTCAAACTATGGTATAATAACTTTTTTTGTCAAATATATATACGTATCTAATCAAAATGATTTTATGCTACAGCTTCGTATCTTGTAACTTTTGCGGCTTTTAGAATAAGATCCAGATGTCTACATTTATCAATAAACAAGTCAGAATTTTAAGAAATTCAGCATAATATAAAATTAACCAGTTTTTTTAAACTGTATACTATCATATTTCACAAACTTTAAACAACTCAGCAAAGTAAAATATTATAGAAGCAAATAATCCTGAGCTTTATTTTGATGACAAGCCTAATTTCCCAGATAACGTTAATATCCACTTACGTTCAAAATACTTAATTTACAAGAAAACATATTTTTGAAGGTTTCGGCAATGAGTTTCTATAATCAAATATATATATATATATATACTGCTTTTGTATGAAATAAAACTGTGATAAAATACGGACTGTAACATTATGTTATTGTATTTAAAGTGAGCTTTTACAAGTAAACAAAGAATTCGTTTGCGGTTGCAGCGTTGCATGATAACTGCATAGCATTGCCTTTAATGAAAACTCAAAACTTAGTTGAGTATTTCTGAGAAATTCTAAGCCACTAGATGCCACTTGCAGGAGAGGTTGTTTCAGCGTAAAGTTACATAATAGGCTACTTGCGCCGTCCCGCCGCGGATATCGAATCCGAAATCTCAGCGTTATATGAGTCGTTCAAGCTATGCTTGTCGCTGAGTTACCGAGGGACTTTCACAAAGATCAGACGATTTTACGACATACTAGAAAAGTAGGCCTATATTACAATAACAAAGAGATTTGAAACAAGCACTGTTTCAGACGATTGTAGGACATACTAGAAAGGTAGGCCTATATTACAATAACAAAGAGATTTGAAACAAGCACTGTTTCAGACGATTTTAGGACATTCTAGAAAGGTAGGCCTATATTACAATAACAAAGAGATTTGAAACAAGCACTGTTTCAGACGATTTTAGGACATTCTAGAAAAGTAGGCCTATATTACAATAACAAAGAGATTTGAAACAAGCACTGTTTCAGACGATTTTAGGACATACTAGAAAAGTAGGCCTATATTACAATAACAAAGAGATTTGAAACAAGCACTGTTTCAGACGATTTTAGGACATTCTAGAAAGGTAGGCCTATATTACAATAACAAAGAGATTTGAAACAAGCACTGTTTCAGACGATTTTAGGACATTCTAGAAAAGTAGGCCTATATTACAATAACAAAGAGATTTGAAACAAGTACTGTTACCGATCCGGAAAACAGTTTTAAATTTGACCTAATGACATCCATAGGGGAAAATCTTTCGAATGTTACCTCATCCTTCTCTTTAACCGTTGTGTATACATCAGATTTAATCGCACATAGATAGATACGATCTGTTTGCTCATTAGCGTAATACGTACATTATACAGTCTGACTGTATTTTGTTTGCTCACAATAAACTATTTGTTAATTACCCATCATTGGACTTTAATTAATTATTGAGTGCAAATATCGTATCTTATCATGTCTAAAGTTGATTTCACTGGTTTAATACATATATCGGAAACTATTAAAACAGTTGTAGATGCGATAATTAAGCCTGCCTTGTGGAAAGATCATGTAACATAGAGTTCAGTTGTTGATTTAGGTTCTACACTATCAGTGGGCAGGAATTACCTAGATCGTTACCATTCGGAACAGCGCTCGGCTTTTTCCGTAGTACCTAGTAAAATCGCTCTCGGATGGAATAATAGGAATACACACGTATATTACGTTTATACGTTTACGTATATACGTTTATTTGTTAATGCTAACTTGACTTTCATTCATCCACTTTCCGAAGGTGTTCCGGTTATTGCGTTTATTTTTAATGCCAACTTGGCTACCATTCATCCACTTTCAGAAGGTGTTCCGGTTATTGCGTTTATTTTTTAATGCTAACTTGACTTTCATTCATCCACTTTCCGAAGGTGTTCCGGTTATTGCTGTTTATTTTTTAATGCTAACTTGACTTTCATTCATCCACTTTCCGAAGGTGTTCCGGTTATTGCTGTTTATTTTTTAATGCTAAC